AAATTTATTTTTTTTCTATATAATTTAAAAACAAAAACATATCTTAATTGTTTTCTTAACATTGTCACAAATGAAAAAGATAGAAAAAAAAACCTTTTTTTAATTTTCTTTTCTGTAATTTATTTATTTATTTATTCTTTTATGAACAATTTATTTATTTTATTAAACGCAGATCTAAACGAGCATGAAATTATGGTAATTTAATAGAGAAATAAAGTGAAAAAAGAGGAGGAAAGAAAAAGGGAAAAAAATGGGAAATTAACGGTTCTTGAAGCTGAGCTTTGGATTCTTGGTTGATTGATTCAGGGGATAAACTAAAGGAACGCTGTCAGTGGGGGCAATTTGAAAAGATTTTCGTTTCTTTTCATGTCTGCTGGTCTCTTTCTCGCTGCTTTTCTCTTGGGAAAGACGAAGGTGGGTTTTTTTTTTTAATGATGATTTCGACTTGATTGCCCTAGTTGTCTGTAGGGTTTAGAATTATCACCAACTGCTAGTAAGATTTTGTTTTTCGATTTTTCTTTTTGATTCGTGGGGTAGTGTTTGATTGGTGTTTGGCGGATTATTGAAGTGGGTCGCTGAAATTCTGGTGGATTCTTGGTCAAGGTTGGTGCTTTTTAGATTTTTCAGTTCTGGGTATTGGTTTTTAAGCTTAGTTTGTTAATGGGACTGTGTTGGGGAATGTTGGTTTCATAATGTTTGTTTTGTGATTTCTTCTTGCTTTGTATTCTCCTTTCTTTTGTCCACATTTTGGTGGCGTGAAATGGTATTTTGATTCTTATCATTGTTTTTTTATGAAAAATACTTGATTTTGGTTGTTCTTGAATAGGACTGATCAATCAACTTAGATATCATTATAAAGCATCATTGACTAGTTTATGTTTTGTGATCCTTTTGATTCTACAATCAACGTTCTGATTTGGTGTGATTTGTCATTGTGTTCTGTGCTCGAAGATTGCAGAGGGAGTTGAAAAAATATGAAGAGTAAAATAAAGATCAAACGTCTGAGAAAAGATGGAGTTAGGCAGGATTTGGGGAAGGTGATGAAGTGCCTCTATTCTGGAGAGCAACTACAAGCTGTAGATAGGATGACTCCTTCATCTGAATCTGTAGCAACTAGAGACTATTCTCTGAGCAAGTGTTCTTCAGGAGTCAGTGAGGGCGAGAAGAAGCCAGATACCCGGAATATAGAAGAAGCTGAAATATCTCTGCGTGAGGGTGGTTCCTTGAATTATGAGGTTTGTGTTTCCATGCTTTCTCTCTTTTAAGTTTTGTTATCTTGGGGTATTCCCTTTTTCATTCCCATTGTAACTTTGGGCTGTATGTTTCTTCAGTAAGCATTATAAGCAGTAGAACTCTGATATTCCGAATTTTTGAATCCAAATTCTGAACAAATCATGTAAAAATACAATAAACGTGCTTGAACCTAGGTGTATTTTAGTCTATTGAAGTTTATAGTTGCAAGTTATTTGCATTGTTTCATTGAATTGCATGAATCCTTGACAACTCTGCATCATATGTAAATATTCAAAGCCAAACTTTATAAACCATCCTCGTGCTATTTGTTATTTCTGCCTTGGTTAAGGCATTGTTTTTTTTTTTTAGCCATCTAAACTTGTGCACATGCTATTTGGACCATCTACTCTAATAAAATGCTGTACTACTCAATTCTATAAAGCAATGCAAAGATTAATTTGGAACTCTGCCTCTTTTCCTTATAAGACCCATTGATGTCATTGCTTGCATTAGACCACAAAAACAGTGCCCTTTTCTTTATTTATTATTATTATTATATATATTTTTTTACATATGACAATGCAGCATATCAATCTCTTCTAATTATTGCATTTAATGAGAATAATTGGCATCAATTTTGGAAATGCTTCCTATTTCTTTCTTGTGATGAAGGTTTGTAAAATTTGCAGGAAGCAAGAGCACTGTTGGGAAGAATTGAATATCAGAAGGGAAATTTAGAAGCTGCATTGCATGTATTTGGAGGAATAGATATTGCTGCAATAGCTCCCAAAATGAAACTCGCCCTTAGCAGAAGTGTAGAACATCATCATAAGAGACAATCTGATAACTTTGATGCTCCACCTATGTCTATCCATGCTGTTAGTTTGCTATTTGAAGCAATCTTTCTCAAAGCCAAATCATTGCAGCATCTTGGGAGGTTCAAAGGTATTTTTATCCATTCATTTTTCTACTAGTTTGATTTGAACTTTGGTTTGGACCAAACAACATACGTTTTACTTGTTCTGAAATTTACTTTATATATTTCTCAAAGCAAAATCATTGCAGCTAATGTATATCTCCCTTTGCTCTTGCAGAAGCTGCTCAAACTTGCAAAGTTATTGTGGACACAGTTGAATCTTCCTTACCAGAAGGCTTGCCTGAAAATTTTGGTGTTGACTCCAAATTAAAGGAGACTCTAAACAAGGCAGTTGAGTTGCTTCCAGAATTATGGAAACTTGGTGATTGTCCACTTGAAGCAATCTTGTCGTACCGGAGAGCTCTTCTCCATCAATGGAATCTTGATGCAGAAACTTTTGCAAGGATTCAAAAGGAGTATGCCATATTTCTTCTGTATTCTGGAGGTGAAGCAAGCCCTCCTAACCTCCGCTCCCAAATGGACAGTTCATTTGTCCCCAAAAACAACACAGAGGAAGCCATACTCCTCTTGATGATACTACTAAGAAAAGTTTCTCTCAAAAGAATTGAATGGGATCCATCAATCTTGGAGCATCTTTCATTTGCTCTCTGTGTGTCTGGGGCTTTGACTGCTTTAGCTAATCAGGTAGAGGAGCTGATTCCAGGTATAATTGATCGTAAAGAAACATACCACACTCTAGCTCTCTGTTATGCTGGAGCAGGTGAAGATTTAGTTGCTTTGAATTTATTGAGAAAATTGTTGAGCAATAGAGAGGATCCCAACTGTGTTCCAGCCTTATTAATGGCTGCAAAAATTTGTGGTGAAAACAATATTCTTGCAGAAGAAGGGATAACTTTTGCTTGTAAAGCCCTTGGAAACTTGGAGGGCAGATGCAACGAATTGAAAGGTACAGCAAATTTTTTATTAGGCATGTCACTCTCAGCACATTCTAAATCATCGCTTGCAGAATCTGAGAGGATCAAAGAACAATCTGAGGCACTTCATGCCCTAGAAGGCACCAGAAAAATTACAAAAATGAAGGATCTCAATATTCTTTACCATCTTAGCCTGGAAAATGCGGTGCAGAGAAAGTTGGATTCTGCATTTTACTATGCAAGGTTGTTCCTAAACCAAGAAGGTGGAATGAACATTAAAGGATGGCTGTTATTGGCTCGGATATTGTCTGCTCAGAAACTCTTTATTGATGCTGAAACCGTAATTAATGTTGCCTTGGATCAAACTGGCAAGTGGGATCAGGTAGAACTTCTACGGACTAAGGCTAAGCTTCAAATTGTCCAGGGTCAAGTAAAGAGTGCTATTCAAACATATGGTGAACTTATTGCTGTTCTTCAAGTGCAGAGGAAAACCTTAGGCTCTGGGAAGAAGCTTGATAAGGTTTGTTAGTTGTTCAATTTTCACATTCAAGCTCATTTGTTTTAATTGTTTTCTTCCTTTGGGAATAATATGAAAATAGTTTGCCTGGCCAGTTGACCAAATTCATGCAATAATTTTGCTGAAGTTGTTATTTTCCTTCTTCTTTGGGAACTACATGTTTCAGTGAGAATTACATTTGGTTAATCCTGACAGATAGGTTGTTCGAAAGGTAGATGTAGATCAGAAGATGGTCCTTCAGAATCATCCTTCTTCTGGGCTTCTGCCTCTCACTTATAAAGTATTGCATACTAAAATGAATTTTAGGTTTAGCATCCCAACCATAAACTGGAAATGGCATCTAGAGTGAAGGTGGGGGAAATTTTCTTCGGTGGTTGTGGATTCTTTTATTATTATTATTATTTTTGACAATTTGATTGGACTCTTTGTTTTATTGGAAAATCATATTAGCTTTTATTGTTGGACTGCACTGTTTTCTCTCTGGCACTACTTCCTTGAAGAGAACATATTCCCTCTGGTATTTCTGGCAACTGAGCTTTTTGAGTGATTTTTGGCAGGACCATCCAAAGTCTTCTAGAAGTTTAGAACTGGATATATGGCATGATCTAGCTTATCTCTATATAAGCTTATCACAGTGGCAGGATGCAGAGATATGTCTTTCCAAATCCAAAGCCATTGGCTTTTACTCTGCTACTAGGTGTCATGCAACTGGTAAGTTTACGTTTTCTTTTTTCTTTTTTCCCCCCTTTAGCTTTAAAATACCAGATCTCAAACCATCTTATTTTGCTGGGGATTTATTCAAAATGTGACTTCAGTGTTTTTTTCCTTTTCTTAATTGTTGATGGAAGTAGAACTAGAAACTAAATAGTTTTTTTTTTTTTTCCTTTTCTTAATTGTTGATGGAAATAGAACTAGAAACTAAAATTTATTTTCTCTTCAGCCACAGATCCAACTTATTCAGTCATTGCTCACAGTCTAGTTTTGAGATTTCAGATATCAATTCATCAATTTTCCTTTGTTCTTTAAATTCTGCATTCTGCAGAAATATGTTCCAATGGATGGCCTTGGGTTAATGAACCATCATTTGATTTCATATTTACGTTTCATTTCTGTGATGATATTTGCGTAGAAACATGTCATTGAAGGACTTCAAATTTGCTTATATACGCAGGTGTACTTTACAAGAGAAAGGGCTTCCTGAAAGAAGCATTAGAAGCCTTCATGATTGCTTTGGATATTGATCCTGCTCACGTCCCAAGCTTGATATCCTCAGCTGAGATTCTCATGCAACTCAGTTCCCAGCCAAGTTCAGTCATTAGAAGCTTCCTGATGACTGCCCTTCATTATGAAAGAATGAACCCAGTGGTCTGGTTTAATCTTGGCTTGCTTAGCAAAGGTGAAGGCACAGCATCGTCCATGCAAGAAGCAGCTGAATGTTTCAAGGCTGCAGCATTTCTCGAAGAGACTGCACCAGTTGAACCATTCAGGTGACAAGCCCCCCATGCAAATGTATGGTCTCTGTAAACAGCATCTACAGTGTGCTTTTTCCCTATATTTGTTCTCAGCATAGTCATTCATTGAAAAGGCAATAAAATGCTAAAGTATTTATTTCCCCCTTAGCTTTGGTTGAGCAGGATTCTGAACAGAGGGATGTATTCAAAGATTGCATATATATCAAAGATTGATTCTGGTTTTCAACTGTACAATATCAGTTATTCGAATTCATAGTTTCATGAAGAAGCGGTATATGGTAAATATTCCTAGAGAAATATAAGAACTGGAGTTGGGTTAGATTTGCTTCAGCTATTCAATCCTTTGCTTTTTGTTTGAGCCGGAACTAATTTTGGAGGAGCTCTTCCTATGCCTGAAACGAGAATTCAGGGCCCGTTGCATCAATTTCCTCGCTTGAGATCGCTGATATCGGTTGATCTTGCTGCGCTTTCTTGGCAACATCTGACATGACATCTCATCAACCTCGCCGGCCTGAGATTCAGGTTCTATTGCTCGTTCAAAATCTACGCATTCTCCCTCGTCATGGGAGGAAACAACCAATTCAAGCTCCTCTTCTGGATCATCGTCTGCGGCTGAACTCGTAAATCTTGACGGTGGACCGCAGCCCTTAGGAAACTGTCGGCAACAATAGCGAAGACGACGTGGAGGCGAATGAGTATCAGCAGGCAACAACGACTGACGGGTCGAAGTGGACGATGATGAAACCACTTCATGAACAGCATCGTCCTCGTTCTGGCCCTCGAATTCAGATGACTCGATAACTACGTATTCCTCCTCATCGTCCGAGGAAATCATCAACTCATCATGAACTTCCTCCTGGTCGGCATGGGGTGGACCGCAGTCCCTAGGGTAAGTACGAACTGCGTATAATGAATGAGCCGGATGGAGTATCCGCCACAACATCTTGGAAGGGACAGGATGACGGATAAACAGCGAAGAAAGAACCAGTGATTTTCTGTAACATGGAATGATGTACTACTAGCACGAAGTTATATATAAACAAAAAAATATAGAAAACCTAATATGACTAGGACGTGGAGTATTTCTCAAATCTCAATGGAAAAGATACCTTTCTTTTTTTTTTTTTTGAATAAATTACAATTGGGGAGAGGGAGGAAAAGATATTCAATTTTAAATAAAAGGGGAATATAAATTATAATGAAAATAAGAAACTAAGCCTCGTAATATATTTATATAATTTTCTCTAGATTACGAATCAACATACATGTTTTCGTGAGTTATTTGTGCAATTTTATTTATAACTTTTATATGCTATTATATTATTATAAATAAGTAAATATATAATGCTATTTGAGTTTGGATAATATAAAAATAATTAATTTAAAAAGATTAGACATAGAAGTTGTTTTTGAATTATTATTTTTATTAATTTTTTATCTAAAGATTACAAAGTAACTCTTAGGTATATTAGGAGTACTAATTACACGAGAATATCATTTGCATACAATATAGTCTTGAAATATTGAAATTTCAATTTCAAGCAACAAAAATTTGAAGGTAAAAATGATAGTTCTAGTGCAGCCCGTTTGGAATTTGAGCCCTTCTTATAAACTGTAAACCCAACAACGTGACCTAAAAAAAAAAACCTAACATGCTACCAGCCCGTAATTTTTAGCACACCAGGTTCTCAGCCCATTTAGTGTTTGATTAGTATTCTTCGCAACCCTTAACCAGTTAACCCACGCAGCCATTATAATGCTGCATATATATATATATATATATATTGTATTAATTTTTCAGTATTTGAAAATTACATTAGATTTTGATTAATCCAAAATTAAATTATGTCAGATTTAATACGAAGGAAAACTCTCCTAACACCTATTTCTTCATTCATAAGACTCAAAATTGAGATTTTATTTAAGAGAAATGAATTTTTTTTCACTTGAATCAACATATCGTTGGTATTATAAATATAAACATATGATTTTAATATATTATTATATAAATATAAAGTACTATTAAATGAGTAAATTTAAATAATATTATAAATGCACTTGAGCTTTCGATCCAGTAACATTAGATTGCATATAAATGCATTTCTTTTTTCAGAGTAACGGTTTGAATTTAGTTCTTTGCGAATTTGTTCAAAAATAATAATATTATAAATAAAAAAATTAATTATATTATGATATACCATGTGATAAATTTAAAATATTATATAATTTTATAATTATATTATTTATCATATCACAAATTAAAAATTTAAAATTAATGATATCAATTTTGAACCAAACTCTTATTCAAAATTATAAACTAACATAATTAATCCTAATAAACATTGATTACAACCTCGTATTTTCTGAATCCCTTGTCACTCAATCTCAAATTGGAAGTTAAAATTTTGAAATACCGCGCACAAACGGCGCCAATATAATAAAAGGAATGGAAACATGCAACCTCAAAATTTTGTACGGCGGGAGTTCAAGAAACAATCAAAA